GGATGAAGATTTGAGTATAATAGATTGTTCTTGGATGGAATATGAGTATTCTTGGAGGAAATTTCGAGATTGAGAGTGAGAGAAAGAATAGAGAAGATTTAAGTGGTGAAGAGAATAATGTGTTGGGAGAAAAAGGAAAGGAAAGTGGATGGGAGGTGTGAGTGGGAGACCATGGGAATAATCTTTTTGCTTTTGGTGGTCTTCATAATTTCCCACTAACACAAGCATCTTTTACATAATTAATATAAGAGTTTTATAAAATTTAAAGTAAAGTTTATAAAAAATAGAGTTTTATAAATTTAATGTAAAGTTTATAAAATGAAGTTTTATAAAAGATAGGTTATTATTTGATTATAACAATCTACTTTGATTTGAAGTTTAATTAGAGAATTCAAGTTTGATTCTTTTAATTTAATTAGAGCATTATACTTTGATTTGATTTTAATATGGTATCATAATTTATTTTGATTATAGTTATAACGTTGTACAATATTATGTTGCTATTAACGTCAAGTTATATCGTATTGTATGAGTTTTGATCCTATTAGCGTCAAGTAATCTTGAGTAGGGTTTATTAAATTTCTAATTGGGTTGGGTTCACCCGAATCCATTTTAGGCGGATGTCACACAACCTCCCTATAGCAAGTTCTTTTCCGATCTAAGATGCAACCGCCATTTAGTTAGCAAAGCGAGATTTTGGACTATAAGGGAGCCAACTCCAAAACCACCGTCTCTTAGAAGCAATGACTTTCTCCCAAGCGACCCAATGGATTTTGGATTTATCTGCCCCACCTCCTCAAATGAACTTCATTCTTAATTTCTTAAGATTCTCAATAATGATGTTTGGGGTATAAACGATGTATTTTTTCTTAAAACTTGTATGGCTCTTCACCTTACCACTACAACTCAAAATACTTTTTAATTAATGATAATTAATTGATTCATTAAAATTTTGGTAATTATAATGATATTTTTCTTACACCTTTTGCATTTGAATTTTCACGACTCTTCATCTTATTATTACAACTCATAAGACTTTTTAACTATTAATGATTAATTGATTCATTAATATAATGATTACATTGATTAATTTTTAAATAAAAAACTTAAATTTAACTGTCAAAATAACAAAAAAATTCAACAAAAAACTATTATTTATAATAATTTTAATTATTTAAAAATAATAAAATTTTAAATATAATGTTAAATATCGAGATGTCAAATTCACATGCAATCTAAATTGATCACATAAACTATCAAACTAAATTGATTAGTTATTAATAGTTAAATATTGCAATAACAAATTTCTAAATTGATAACAACGATATAGTTATCTTTTAATACAATATACATTTCAATAATTTAATTATATTATTGTATTATATGCAATATATTTGTTATAATTTTAATCAACAATTTCTGCGAAACGTGCGGAAATTTGTCTAGTTTTAATTAATACTCTTTAATTTTTTGTACTTTTAACATTTACTGTTCTTGTATTTGTAGCGTATGTCATATGGTTTGATATAATAATTGTTTCACCCAAAATTTATATATGTTCATAGTAATTTGTTTGACATTGATCAATACATAACAACTAATAAATAACAATTATAAGTAAATTATAAGGAACTGATTACTCATACTTTTTTATTCAAGTAACTACTAACACAAAAATCTCTTCTGTGAAGACTGAGTTAGATTTCGATCATTGTTTGGGTCTTGTGTTGTGCCATTAATGGATTTTCGAATTCACGTGAATCGAGTGTTTTGTATATGCCCCACAACTTTATTCATTATATATAATATAAGAAATAAGTTTGGATGTCAGAATACCATTGAAAATGTATACTAGTCACTCAGGTTTTCAGAAATTTAAATAACTTATTTACATGTTTGACTTTGGATTTTATTGTATTTGAATAAATTTGAATGGAAATAGTTCAATGCTGGTGCTACTAAAGATTTCATTAATGGTAGGTACTGTATTTGATGGTAGTCGGTAGATGAAGGTTTGACCAATTGAATTGTTGAAAGATTGTCATGCTTTCTTGTATTGATGAACATTAAAAAAAAAAATCGAATTTAAATCGTTGGTTTCTAGTTAAGAATATTGCTATTGGTTGGTTTTCAAGACACAGTTTTCAATTGATCAACTTTTTTTTTTGGCAATCCTAAGGCTAGACCACGATCAAAGGAAAATGATGTATTGATGTTATATAGTATATACATACATATGTATGTATGTAAGATGAAAAGTTTGAAAAGTTGGGAAACGATAAAAATCAAAATTATTTTTGCTATGTTTCATCCTATCTTGTCTTTAAAACCGAAAGAGAATAGTATTGTCAATTTTGGCAATAATTTGTTACACATGAAAAAATTTATTAATATAATAAACTAGAGCAATAAAATCATGAAATAGATATGTGTTATATTTGGAGGACTAATTAAAGATAGTTTATAATTAATAAAAATGACGTTTGATAAAAATAAATGATAGACTAGCTGGAAATATAAAAGTGTATAAAAAATCATGCAAGGAATAAGTTTTTTTATAATTAATAGATAATATATTTAGAAGAATTTAAAAAAAGTCCATAAACTCGTTGAAATATTAATCTAGGTAACTTATAAATCAAAATTTTTTTACTTAAAAAACATAACAATATAATTTTTTTTTTTCTGAAAAATACAATAAATACATAAAAAAAAAACCATCACCCGAGAATGGTCTTGAACTCTTGGTTGGATAACCTAAAAGAAGTTTATCCAAAAAGAAAAAAAATACAATAGACTTTAAATCTTTAAAATGGTATATTTGGTATGTTTGGTTAAACTAGATATCCACATTTGTGAAAGAAGGTAAACATGATGGGTGCATCCAATCTTACAACCAACATGAATGATGAATGATGTTTAAATAAAATGTCTTTAGAGCAAAAAAAAACGTGATAGTCATGTTTAATCTCATACACCACTTATGAATTTTTATCCGTTTAAAGTAAACATCCAACTTTCAAGTAAACATACGACAAATATTCATATTTATATAGTATATGTTACTCAACCATATTATTTAGCAAGCATTTTACAATGTTAATTATGAAAATAAAACATAAATATTCTCCAGATGATCCAAATACTCACATCATTTATATAGTAAACCGTATTATTTAGCAAGCATTTTACAATTTTAATTATGAAAATGAAACATAAATATTCTCCAGATGATCGTACAAGATAAATGATTGTGAAAGAAAGACAAAACGCATGACAATGACATATTTGTTGGAGGACTTTGATGATAGATGACAAATTAGAAACTAAAAATGTTGCTTAAAGAAACATAATTGACTAGATATGTAAAAGTATATGATGAAAAAAGATTATTTTAGAAAATAGCCTATTGATTTCAAAAGTTATATATGAATTGACATCGTCTCCGTTTGTTATTATGAGCAACACACAAAAAGACTGTATGTTTTTAATATTATTTTTGATGGCGGGGATGCAACTAGGGATGAAAGTGGGTCCAAACCCGGACCGGATGGATCCGAGCCCGGAAAACCCGGAACCGGTTAACGGGATTTTATAGAACCGGAAACCGGACCGGTATATAGGAACCGGTTCCGGGTACGGTATCGGGTAAAGTGGGTTTAGAACCGGAAAACCCGGAAACATCAAAGTGGGTAGGTTGGAACCGGATAAAGTGAGTTTAGAACCGGAAAACCGAAATATTTTGGTAATTACTTACTACTTAGTGGGTTGAACTTTGAAAATTTTCATATTGATATCCCGACTTTGAGGGACTGTAACTCATTGAATATGAAACCAAAATTGATAAAATTATAGTCTAAAATCATATACACACTCTAAACTATACTCTAGAAAAAACCGCATGTCAATCCAACTTTAAACGAATGAGATATGCATGTGTTAACATTTTCACAGAATACAAAAGTACAAAAACAAATAGTTGAAAAGTTGAAAATTTTCAGTTTTGATATCCTGACTTCGGGGGACTGTAAATCATTGAATATTAAACCAAAAATGAAAAAATTATAGTCTAAACTCATGTAAAAACTCTAAACTACAAGTTGGAAAAAACCACATGTCCATCCGACTTCAAACGAATTAGATATGCATGTTTTTAAAACTTTCACAGAATACAAAAAACTGAAAAACTAAAAACTTTCAGCTTTGATATCTCGAATTTGGGGGACTATAAGTCAATGAAAATAAAACTAAAAATAGCAAATTTATAGTCTAAAATCATGTACATGCTCTAAACTACATGTTGGAAAAAACTGCATGTCAATCGGAGTTAAAACGAATGAGATATGCATCTTTTAAACGTTTCACAAAAACCGGTTCCGACCCTAAAAGTGGTTCCGGTTCCTAACACCGGTTCCGATTTTCAGACCCGGTTTACCCGGACTCGATGGACCCAAACCCGGATTACCCGGAACCCGAATAAAGCCAATTTTTAAACCCGGAACCGGAACCGGTTCTATATATTCCGGTTCTAACTGTTCCGGTTCCGTCCGATTCTGGTTCCGGTCCGATTTTCCGGTTTTAAATCTCATCCGTAGATGCAATACACATATCCTAGGCAAACAAGAGATCGAGATGGGGTGTATATCCACTTCACTCCATCTTTTGTGTGGAAAAAAATATTAGGATATTTATTAATTGTTCCTTTGAAACCATTTGCATTATATGATCGACATACTCTATCGTGTCTTTTGTAACAACCATGTCCTAAAAGTTATCGAAGAAAAGATCATCATTAATTACATTTTTTGGGATGTAATTGTGTAAAATTTTGGATTCAAAATAGCAATAATAACTATTGATCTGGATTTTAAGAACGATGCTGGGCCCTTATTGGATATCAACTGAATAACATTACGCTGCTTAGCCCAATCTATGGACTGAACATAGGGCCATTTACGAGTATACAACACCTCAACTCCTCAAGGCTCAAACTCAAACCACGGAGGGGTTACATAAGACTATCAAAGTGCGTCCCTGAAGCCGACGGAGAGGGGAGACAAGAGAGAAAGCGGAAGGGTCCCAGTCTGACACACGATTCATGGCCGCCAAAGGAGGAGCAGCTCCGGCGACGTACTCACCGTCCCCGACAACCTTTAAGAAGAAGAGACCTCCCATTTTCACCGATGTTGATTGGGTACGCCCCGACGGTCGCGATTTTCACCAGTGCAGACCTGCATGTATGTCCTAGTATCCTATATCGCTCTTCCTCTGCATAATCACCTGCTCAACTCGTTTGTTTTGTTGATGTTTTGATATGAAAATTAGTATGATATTTTGTAAGTAGATTTTCTATTACCTTTTGATTAATCATGCTGTATTTCCTGCCCCTACACTCAAGGAAGAGTGGGAGAAACAATATAAGAAGAATAAAACCTAATTTTATCGGCTTTTCAAGATGATTTCTTGTCGATACGTTTTATCTTCAGCATTAAGGGCCAGATAACGTACTTGTGTGAGTTTTTTCTATATCAAGCTTGCACATTTTCTATAAGAATCAATTTCTAACGCCCTAATTTAGACATATGAACAATTATTTGGCTTAAACATGAAAATCTCATATGCATTTGAGGTTCCTTCATATTTTAGCTTATGCTGTGATATATTTCCAAGTGACTTGATTTTTTCCTAGTTCTGTTCTTTTTGCTCATAATTTACCACTTTTTAGGGGTTTACATAGTGGATTATGCATAACTTGTGTGCTGCATTATCTGCTTTTCATTTTACGAACGGGAGCTGTAAATGCAGCATCAGGATCTGCTTATGCAGAGTTTGGTAATACTAAGGTCATTGTGTCCATGTAAGTTCACCTCTTATGTAATAGATATTTTACTGATACATGTTTGATGTTTCTCAAAGATATATTCTGTTGATTCTTTCAGTTCATAGTACTCGTTGAATGTTGACTAAACAAGCATGTGTATTCATACAAGCTGACATACATCCTTGAGAAATTGAAACTGATTTATGCAGCTCCTATTCTTTTTTACAAATGAACGCTCTTGTTTCAGATCAATAATGACCTAATGTTGCTAATAGATTATCAGCCCACATCTGTATTGTTATAAGGATTAGAAGTGTTCTTTAAGTTCTATGGCAGTGAATATTATTCTTATCTTTCATCAATGAAATATTTAACACCCTAATTTTTTACCCAAAAAGCTTCTTTTATAAAACACAGTTTCCATACAAAGCTGCACTTCTCTATAACACGGGGACACAATTCTTTTAAATGTTATCCTTACTAATAAACATCATTTTCCATTATAATTTTATTTCAGATTTGGGCCCAGGGAAGTAAGAAAGCAATGATGTACAGTGATACTGGTCGCCTAAACTGTAATGTTACTTATACAACTTTTGCCACTCCAGTTCGAGGACAGGTATGTTTATGGAGTTATTAGAATAATAATAATAATAATAATAATATATAATAATAATAATAATAATCTACTTCTTTTTAGAGTAAAATATTTCATTTGTCATATCTTTTATTTGTAGTCAATGTTTTATATATGCTAGGCATCATCAGACAACAAAGAGATTTCATCACAACTGCACAAGTCTTTGGAGGGTGCCATAATGCTTGATACATTTCCCAAAACAACTGTTGATGTTTTTGCATTAGTATTGGAGTCTGGTGGCTGTAAGTTCCTATCTCTTTTATTCAAAACATATGTTTCTAATTTTTCATCTCTTTTTAAAATTTATGTATAATAATTGCAGGTGATCTTCCTGTAGTAATCTCATGCGCCAGTCTTGCTTTAGCAGATGCAGGGATTATGATGTTTGATCTGGTTGCTGCAGTTTCTGTGGTATGTATGCACATGAATGTTATTTTTTGATTGATTGTGTAAGCTTTTTGACACTTCTTTTTTATTTATAAAGTCTTGCTTGGGGAAGAATCTTGTGATTGACCCTGTTTCAGAAGAAGAAAATTATCAAGATGGTAGTCTTATGATTACTTGTTTACCCTCACGTAATGAGGTAACTCAGTGACAATAACTGGAGAATGGTCTTCCCCAAAGATTCATGAGGTATGCCATCAAAATGGCAATTTTGTAATTAATGTTTTAAAGTGTTACTTTACTTGCATCGTTTAACTGATAGAAAATTTGTTAAATATAAATTAACAGGCAATGGAACTATGTCTTGATGCGTGTTCAAAGCTTGGGAAGATCATGAGATCATGTTTGAAAGAATCGGCCTCCACCTCCACCTCCACCTCACAAGAGTAGCTGCTTGTTTAAAACTAACATGTATGTTTGGATTCCATTTTTCTCAATTAAAGATACATAATAGGCACTTTAGTTTTGAATATCTTGTTTTTTTTTAGCATGTCCAAATTTTGAACCTGTGAAAAACAAAAAAAAAACATGGTCTTTTGTTGTTGGCCTAAATTTTGCTTCTTTGTTTTTTGAATGTCTTGTTTTCGGAGGTATGAGATTGTTATAGATTGTAAGAAAGATATTTATGTTATTTGATCTTTTCTAATTATGGAAACTTCTTAGCTCACTTGACTGGGTTTCGAAGATTTTGAGGGGCCTTTTCAGTTAAAAAAGTCAAATTAAAAGGACTTTTTGAACCAAATTAGAAGCACTGACTTTCTTGACTTCTTGTTATGGGTTGATACGTTCAACTGGATCAACATTTGTTGTTACTTGAGTGGACTTACTGTTTCTTAGGAATCTTTGAGTGGTAGATCTTGGATATGATGTAGTTATCAAACATGCCACTTTCTTCTATAACCAACATTTATCAAGTTGTGTTTACTGTTCACATAGTCGAATCATTTTTTTTTTCAAAGTTACAGAAATGATCTTGTAAAATAGTAAAATTACAGAAATAATCCCTATTTAATAGTAATTTTAAAGAAATTATCCCTGCGATATTACCAAAATAGTCCATGTGTAATAGCGAACTTACAAGATTGCATCTGTGTAGTAGTGGATTAGAGAAATAGATCCTTACAATCTTTGATTTTTAAATTATTTTGGCCTAATAAACGCGTGGGCATGGCCATTAGTTACAGAATATATTGACTTTGATAGTAAAGGGTACTATTAGGTATTAGGTAGAGGTGTACAAAAGGCTCGTCAGATGGATTTTTTTTTTTTTTTTTGAGTTCTTATCGGCAATTCTTTTCATTTTTTCTTGTTGCTGCATAGGGACGAGCATATGAACCGGGAACCGGCCAGAACAGTTACTGGAACGAAACCCGATGGAACCGGTCGGGTCAAGCCAGGACCGGGACGATATTTTTCTGGATTTTTGGAACCGGGGAAACCGGAACCGGTAGAACCGGCCAAAAACCGGAACCGTATGTTGCTATTTTTCGAGGACCGGTTCCAACATTGATGACACGACCAGAACCGGTAGGAACCGAAACTGGTAGAACCGGCAGTCCGGTTTGGTTCCTATTTTCCACCAAGTTCGGTTCTCGAGCCGGTTCCTTTGCTCATCCCTATTGCTACATATCTCGCTTTACACGTCTTCTCTTTGTTTTCGGGACCTCTAATGAGTTACAGACAAGTTCGAAATGTTAAATCTTTGATGATTAACATCATCTATGATTGAGTTGTAAAAACTTTTGGGTACATCCTACATCTGAACTGAATTCTTTCTGGTTAAAGAACATCTTTCTAGTTGCTTTGAAACATTATGAGATTCTCTAGCGGTAACATGTGATTGGGTAGTGGTCCTGTTTATGGGTCAAAGCATATAAATGTTACAACCTACTTTGCAATGCCACTAAATTTAAAATCAATTTATCTAAGTATTTTGATCTATATCAACAACAGACCAAGATAATCAGATTATAACACGGTAGAGGGAGTTAGATGTCGATAATTATGTCTTCATACAGATAGAATGACTGCTTCTTATTAATGATTTTCGAGTTTCGACATGTGCAACCATAATCTATAAACGAGGTAAACATATGAAAGTAACAACATGATCTCCTTAGCCTAACACTATCATCCTACTTCTTCTAAGAGATCCTCTTCTTCTCTTACCATCAATTATAATCGACTCTACCCTCTTTTATCATTTCTGATTGTAGCCTCCTTAGGATATGTTCATACCACCTCAATCGTCCTTACCTCAATTCTGTTTCTATGCCTCTTACAACGAGTTTTTTTTAGCCACATTTGAAATCTCACCCAACAAAGTTCTACTCCATATAATTAGAGTTGGCAAAAAACTGAAACCTCACAACACGACACAAATATTAAATGTGTAAGGTTGAGACTCAAATTTTCAATTTGAAATGACTCGTCTATGGGTATTCAAGGTTTTATTTAAGGAAAAAAAATCTTTAGGTAATGTTTTGATCAAGGTTGGGAATATACCCTACACCTTGTAAGACTGAGATAAATTGAACCACACACCAAAAACGTGTGTATGATATTGTATATATACTAATGAATTATAATAATGAGATCCTATAATGTAGGATCTATAGAATACATATATACATAAACATATTTAACAATATATACAATATTTATCTAATAGTTATCTAATATCCCCCTCAAGCGAATAGGCGGTGGACCAACGCGTAACAAAGTACGAAAATGCTCAAACTGAGGACGTGGAAGGCTTTGGTGAAGATATCGCACTTGAAGCTTGGTAGAAATAAACTTGGTGTGAAGTTTGCGGGAAGTGACAAGTTCCCGGATGAAATGATAATCAAGGTCAATGTGCTTAGCGCGCTTGTGAGCAACAGGATTTTGAGTCAAAATAAGGCGCTTTTGTTATCACAGAGCAGAGTTGGTCGATCGGGGTGCAAGGCATGAAGTTCACGTAGAAGATGAGTGATCCAGACAATTTCTGCAGCTGTGTTCGCCATGGCCCGGTATTCAGATTCACAACTAGATCGTGAGACAGTTGGTTGCTTCTTTGCACTCCAGGAGACAAGATTGCCGCAAGAAATATGGAATAGCCATAAGTAGAGCGACGAGTTTCAAGACAACGAGCCCAGTCAGCATCAGAATAGCCCAATATGGTGTTGGTCTGCGGATGACAGAAAAGAAGCCAAATGAAGCAGTACCCTTAACATAACGCAGAATGCGTTTTGACAGATTGAAAGTGAGCATCCGTAGGTGCATGAAGATATTGACTGGCTTGATTAACAGCATAAGATAAGTCTTGTCTGGTAATAGTTAAGTACTGTAAGGCCCCGACAAGCGATCGATAAAGAGTGGGATCGGAAAAAGGAGAGCCATCAGAGGTGTGAAAGTCTCATGTGTAGCAAGAGGCGTGTGGACCGGTTTGGAATCAAGCAAATCCGCCCGGGTAAGAACATCTTTAGCGTATTTAGACTGACTTAGAAAATAAACCATTGTCAGTGTAACTAACTTCAAGTCCAAGAAAGTAACTCAAGTCGCCAAGATCTTTAATGGCAAATTCACGATTTTAACGAGAGCAGTAAATGTTAGTGATGACAGACTCATGACTGCCGGTAAGAATCAAGTCATCAACATAAACGAGAAGATACATGATGCAAGAGTCTCGAGAAAAAATGAACAGGGAGTGTCAGCACGACTGCAGACAAAACCGTGGATAGTAAAAAGGTGCTGAGACGTTGAACACAGGCTCTAGGTGCTTGCTTCAAACCATAGAGAGCTTTGGATAACTTTCATACATGATTTGGAAATTGGGGATCGGTGAAACAAGGGGTGCTCCATGAACACAGTCTTGTGAGTTGACCATGAAAGAAAAGAATTTTTAACATCCAACTGATGAAGACGCCATTTGTTCAATACTGCAAGAGATAGAACAATGCGGACAGTTAGAGGCTTTTTTAATTACAGGGACTGAACGTATGTGAATAATCTATCCTGGAATTTGTGTGAAAACCTTGAGCGACCAGACGTGCTTTATACCGTTCAACAGATCCGTCGGCATTGAATTTAATACGA